GAGGAGGATATTGCAAAGTTTAAAGATTATAGCCCCTCACCATCAGGTGCTGGTGCTTCTGCACAGAAAAAGCCAGAAGCTCCTACCCCACCCAAGCAGGAAGCAGTTGAGAAACCAGCCAGTTCACCAGAGCCAACTGTTTCCAAGTCCAGTTCACCGCCTTCAGCAGATCGCATATTTGCTAGCCCTCTTGCAAGAAAATTGGCTGAAGATCACAATGTTAGTCATGCAAAAATGCTGTGACTTGTGTCTTCATTTTTTCACTTAGAAACCCTCTAACTAATGTCTATCCACTTCTCAAAATGGGTACAAATATAGGTACCTCTCTCAAGTATCAGAGGAACAGGTCCAGAAGGACGCATTGTTAAGGCTGATATTGAAGATTACTTGAGTACTGTATTTAAATTTCTTTGCAGAGAGATTTTGCTATTTCTGATTCTTTTATTATTTCTGTTGATTTGATTTGTTGCTTTATAATAATGGTTTCATTTTTTGGTTTTCCTTAGTATTCTTTTAGCAGTATAGTTTGGTGTACCTTCCTCTAATTTTGATTTAAGCCGCTTACTGGAGAGTTTTACCTATTATGCAGCTTCTCGTGGGAAGGAAGTTTCAGTTTCAGTTCATAAGGCTAAGGATACTGTGCCTGCAGCTCTAGATTATGTAGACATTCCCCATTCTCAGATAAGAAAGGTAAGATTGTGGATCAGTGTCTTTTTCATGGTTATCGTTAAGCTTAAGCCCATACTAACTGATGAGGGGTTTCTGGGTTATGATTTTTATTCCTTGCTACACTTTGCATTGGGCAGTATCTTGTGTTGGATTTTAGGATAATATTTAACTGTACGATTTGTTTCATTCAGCCACAATGAATGAAGGCTCAAAGTCAAGCTAACTTGTCTTGATAACAAAAATTATATTTGTCATTATTTTTTCGAATTTTGGATTTGTTTTCTCTGATCCTGTAATAATGTGCAGAAGTTGTTGGCACTGAACCTTTTTCTTGAGTTCTCATGGCTGTCCTTTTCCCATCATATACCTACTGGCTTATTTCTTCTCATTTAATGACCCTCTGAATCTAATTTCTCTTGTAATTTTGACAGATCACTGCTTCACGCTTATTATTCTCAAAACAAACCATCCCACATTATTACTTGACGGTAGATACCTGTGTTGACAAACTTATGGAGTAAGCATTTGACTGACTGATAATTTTTATCTTTTCAAGTATGTTATTAGTGGGACATTGTGATTATTTGAATTGTTTTTCTCTGCAGTTTGCGGAGCCAGCTCAATTCATTACAAGAAGCCTTAGGTGGGAAGCGGATATCTGTCAATGATCTTGTGATTAAGGTAAACTGAATTACTTGGTTTTGATAGTCATGAAGAGGGTTTTACCTTTGTTATTCACAAAATTATCCTAGGGGCTTTAGGAGGTTTTTTCATGAAATAGTAACTTTTATCGTCTCAGTTTATCTTCTCATCAAATTTGTTGCAATTTCTTTTCTAACTAGCCTTTTTCAGCAATACCCAGAGGTTAAGTAGTTTGTGTCTTCTACAAGTTGGGAAATATCAACTTCAGACATGGTTCTGAAATTGTTGACCTATGAAAATAAAAATTTACAATTTTCATTTTGCTTGAGAATTATCATTTGATGCTGCAAACCAATAACATTTTATATCTTTTCTGAACAACAATTTATAGATGAGCATCTTGTAAACTGCAGGCTGCTGCTTTGGCTCTTAAGAAAGTTCCTCAATGCAATAGTTCATGGACTGATGACTATATTCGCCAGTGAGTATATGGTAATTTACATTTGTGACTAAATCACTATTCACAGTTATTATGACATTTTTATGTATGTTTCCAACCCAGGTATAACAATGTGAATATCAACGTAGCTGTGCAGACGGACAATGGACTCTATGTTCCAGTTATCAGAGTGAGTGATTGTCTCTCAATTTAATGCTATTTTCTTCCCAATAAACCTCATTTTTTTTAGTAAGGGAAATATTGATATGTTACCAACCTACAAATTGCAGGATGCAGACAAGAAAGGTCTGTCTAAGATTTCTGAGGAGGTCAAGCTTTTGGCACAGAAGGCCAAAGAGAACAGCTTAAAGCCAGATGATTATGAGGTTAGTTAGTTGGTAAATGATTGTGGCTATCTTATTTTACTGGTCCATGAGTATCTGAATGCTGGGCCTTTTTCTCTTTGCAGGGAGGCACATTCACTGTCTCCAATTTGGGAGGACCCTTTGGTATCAAGCAATTCTGTGCCATCATTAATCCTCCTCAGGCAGGAATTCTTGCCGTTGGTTCTGGTAAGAGACTGGTTATCAAATTTTGCCTTTATAACAGTCATTATCTTTTCTGCTTCACCTTAACCATTGTGGTTATTGTTCCTGAGCAGCGGAGAAAAGGGTAGTTCCTGGCTCAAGCACTGAACAATTCAAGTTTGCTTCCTTCATGTCAGTAACTCTAAGCTGCGATCATCGTGTTATAGATGGTGGGTGGTTCTGCTCCGTATAGTTTCTAAATTTAGTTGGTTCATGGGCAAGCTCTGTTCAATATCCTCATCATGTTCACACTCTTATCATTCTGCTTGCTATT